TGACTTTCACAGGCTCCCTGTTACCCCTCCACCCTCAGGTAGTTTCCAAAGTTTTCAGAGCCTCAGAACCCTTTCTGCAAAAAAAAAAAAAAAAAAAAAAGTATATATATATCTGAAAAGTACAATGGCCTGAAAGAAAAACAGAATGCCTCTGGGTGACTCAAGTTTGGAAGCTCAGGACAGGTCTACCTCTATTTCTCTGATGATGGCACAGCACCTGGAGGCACCCGTACAACTACCCTAGAAAGCTTACTTTGAAAACCACTGAACTACAAGTTCAGGGCCAAGCCCCATAGCCTGGCCTTCCAGGTTCTCCATGGAAGGGCTCCTGCTGCCTCTCAATCTCAGCTCTCCAGTAAGTCCTACGGGCTCCAGGCACCCTAAAATGCAACTCTTCAAAGGTGTCCTCAACTTTCCTGACTCTAGGCCTCTGTTCAAAGTGACCTCTTCACCACTCAGTGGCCAAAGCCCAGGCTAGGGGGAACGAGGGTTGATTGGTAGGGGTTCATGGGAGTCCTTAGCTCCACTGCAAAAGGGAGGGAAGTAGCCAGGGCCAGATGCTCCTCACCATTGCACATAGGTATCCAGGGATCCTGAACGCAGTGGGATGAGGTCCTGAGCTTCCTTCACCCAGAAGTGCAGCTCCCCGCTTGGGGGCTGTCCGGCGCCTGTGGAGAGGCTCTACTCAAGCCCACCCCACCGACAGAGTCCACCCGCGCGAAGGACAGGAGTCTCCCGCCTCCCAGAGTCCATCCAGGTTGGCTTCAGGAGGGGCGGTCACTCACCCTCTGAGCCGGCAGGGACGTACTTGAGGGACAGGGAGAGCAGCCCACGGCTGGGAAGCTCATCGGGAGAGGGTGGAACCTGCGAAAGGCGGGTTCGTCATGCGGCGTGGGTGGGGCCTCTAGAGAAGGACCCTAGGGATCCTAGCAGCCCCAGGCCAGGAAGGGTCAGTAAAGGTATGAGGCGAGGGGATGGGGTGAGGGTTTGAGGGAGAGACTGTAGAAGGTGGACTCTGAGAGGGCTGCGGGAAAGTGATGGTGGGAGATCTAGCCGTGGGTCTCCCCACGAGGCCCTGCTGGCTCACCCGGGGCCGCAGGGGGAGCCAGGTAGGCTCAGAGTCCCAGTTCCACGTGTCCAGGGGCACTTCGACTTCGCCCAAAAAGATGTTGCGACCCAGGCTTTCACGGTGCCACACGGACAAGCTCAGCACGCGGCCCCGGAGCTCAGCCTGAGGGATGGAGTACTGGGGACAGGAGGCGCTTTTTAGTGCAGCTCTGTTGGCGCCCTGGAGTCAAGTGCTCAGTGTGCTGAGCGGAATGGAACCCTGGGGACTTCAAGGGGGCCTGGACTATCGCTACGCTTACCACAATACTAACACACTGGGCTGGTCCGAAGGTCCTGAGTTATCGTCATTGTTCACCGTCAGTTACAAATGGAACTCTTTGTTCTCCTCCCGTCTAGATTCTTTCTTTCTTTTCTTTCATTCTTTCCTGCTTCCTTCTTTCTCTTCTTTTTTTTTTTTTGAGACAGAGTCACTTTGTTGCCCTCAGCAGAGTATCATGACATCACAGCTCACAGCAACCTCAAACCCTTGAGCTCAAGCGATTCTCTTGCCTCAGCCTCCCAAGTAACTGGGACTACAGGCGCC